TCTTTTCCTTCTTCTTCCACCCCATCTGTTTCATCCTTCTCCCGCACCTTCTTCTTCTTTCTCTTCTTTTTCTCCTCCTCCATCTACCTCCTCCCTTTCTTCTTCCTCCTCCTCTGTGTCTTCTGCATCCTCTTCTTCATGTTCACTTTCCCCATCATTTTCCTCCGCTTCTTCTTCTTCCTTCCTCTTTTCACCACTGTGTTGTCCTTGATCCGAAGTTTCTTTTGGAGGCGGCACAAGATCAGTTTCAGAATGCGGTAACTTCTTTTGACTTTCTGTTGCTGGTTGACCTGAATTCACCAATAATTCATTGCTTTGTCTGGGCAGTGAGACCTCATTGTTCCTTTTCTTGTCAACTTCCACCGTGTTGAGATTTTCTTCTCCAACAACTTTTCCGGTGTTGGCATTCCCTTTTACGTCTTCAGCAGCAGCAGGAGAAACGGCGGAAAGTTGACACCTCCAACGGCTGCGGCCATCCACAACAGCATGCAAACTCTCCATCACCTGACGCACGCATTCCTCGACGGCGGACGCATTCGCACGGCCTCCGGTCCTCCTGCCGACCTCCTCCGCGCATTCCGTCCGCAACCGCGTACGCCACTGCAACAGCAAATACTCACCCGCACTGCCATCGCCACCGCCAGCTCCGTCCGCTGACGACACCGCCACCGCCAGCACCACATCACAGCACGCAGAGGGCACACAGCAGCAGCACACGGCCAGTCATCATCATCGCCATCACTCCTGTCACTTGCGTGTAGCCTTCAGCACAGACTAACTCCCCATCAACGCAGAGTGAAAGTAGAAGGAAAGAAACGGCAAAGTAAAAAACACCAGCAGCAGCGGCAGCACGCATTTCATTAGAAATATTAAACCAATGAAAAAGCAAAAAAGACACAGCGAACTGCAATAATTTAACAAGAAAAACAAACCCAAGGCTCCAGTGCGTATGCATATGAGTATGTCTGGGATGCGTTCAACGTGACGGTTGTGGTGCACAACGCGGAGCACACAGCAGGGCAGCGGAAACAAGCAAAGCAAAAAACGATCATCATAATCACTCTTACTTCATACATCGGACCACAGTAGACGTACACATTACCCCGTGGCTGAGTGCTGGCACGCACAGCCCATGCTCCCTTTCAGCCCACAGCGGTGCACGCCAGCGCGGATACGGCGAGCAGCAGCGGGGCACACACCCACGCAGAGCTGCTGAGGCTGCCGTCGATTTCGCGAAGACGTGACGGTGCGCGGGTGTTCGTCGTAGTTGACGCCTCTGCGCTGTTGAGCGCATCACTTGGTGCCTCTGGCGCAGTTGTCGTAGTCGTATTTGTAGCTGGTGCTTTTGTGGTTGTGGTCGTCATGGTCTTCGTATTTGCTGTCGGGAGGTTAGCCTCTTCATTAGGTCTTAGCACTTCCGGATTCTGCTCTGAACTCTTTACCACCGACTTACTGGAATTCTCCGTTGAACCTCTCGATTTAGTGTCCACATCTTCCGACCCTGCCTGTTCAGTCGCGCCTTCTCCATTTTCTGCATTGGACGACACACGCGGTTTTCCTTCCTTAACGGCCTTAACTGGTGGAGATAACGCATCGGCACCAACATCTTGCTGGTCTGCAAGGATAATTAAATCCGGAGACTTGATCCCTAGACTTGTCCCCTGTGGTGGTTTGAGCGGTTCACTTGTGACAGCAGTTACTGTCACACACGCGGACGGACAGCAGCACAGGGCTAACACCAACAGGGCGCACAGCAGACGGCACGTCATCATCGCGAGTGTGGTCGTTCAGTGGTGTGGAGCTGATCTGCACAGTGAGGGACATGGAGAGCAACAGGGAAGACGAGAGGTGCGGCAGATACACAAAGAGGGCACACCACATGAGGAGAGGGCAGCAGCCAGGCATGCACCGTACGCCGCACACCACGCACGACACACACACAGCCCTGCCGCAACACCAACACACAGATGGAAGAGGGAGAAGCAAACAGGAGCGGCACACAAGGCTCCACCGCATGCACACACGGCGAGAGCGGTCCGTCGTGTCGGCACCCCTCACGGAGGGTACGCACACACAAAAGAAGATGTGCAGCGCACACAGCAACACAACAGCAAAGTACTGTTGAAAAATAAGAGATCCCCGCACACCACGTGGATTGTTGGTCCACGGGAAGTGCAGCCAATATTCATCGCAAAAACAACTTGTTATCCTGTTTTAGTTGTATGCTGCTACAATAACGAGTGAGTAGCGCAAGGCCGTCCGTACAAAAGTGGCAAGTATTCCGTCGCAAACGGGCCGTCGTGCGGGCTGGGGCAGTCACAAACAGTCGCAGTCCATATTCCCAACGACGAGGGCATTCCCGCAGTGGATGAGGCAGAGTCTCTCCTGGTCCATCTCGAGTACCCGCGGTTGTGCTTCCTGCGTGTCTCGCCTGCTGGCATGCTTGGCAACTTCGGTAGCGACCTGCGCGCGAGGCGCCTGTTAGGAAGACGGTGGCGCCATTGTGGCATCCGCATGGGAGGCCCTCGCAAACTATTATAACGCCAGGCTGAGCACGTCCGGCATGTGCCCTCATACTGTGGACGTACAAGCGCACTCTGCCGCAGGTTGGGCAGGAGGACGTCAATCCGCCGCTCGCTGGTCGACAAGGAGTTGCGGCGCTCACGTCGGGAAGAGGTTCCGGCGGAGGCAGAGCCGGGCCGGTCACCGCAGTGAGGGAGGGACGGCACCACCGACACAGAGGGTCCCTTGTGATCCGCAGGGCGTGCGCAGGCCTGTCGAAGAGTGGGCGGGAGTCGCATCGCACCTGTGCGCAGTGCCGCCACTCGGGGCACGATGTCCGGGTCGACACCAGGAATAGAGTCCTCGCCACACCGACAGGCGCCTGTCATGCGGTGTGCGCGCCTTCATTTTCCTCCTGGGCATCCTTCCAGTTCCGTCGCTTCACTGCGGTGAGAAAGTCCACGTGCCAGGCAGTGACGCAGCCCTGCGGGAGGGATTGTGCCATGACGGCGTCAGCGTCCGCTGACACGCTGCGTGGGATTCCGCAGCGTCATGGGAAAATACGGAGCCTGCTGTGCGACCTCGATCCGCCAGTGAAGGCGGCATGGCGCCAATCTCCTCGGCGACGTCGCCGTGCACCGCCAGCGGGCCAAGGCGGAGCGCCTCGATCGCCGAGAGGGAGTCTGCGGCAACAGGAACTCGTGTGGGCGATTTTGACGCCGCCAGGCGGGGGAATGGATAAATTTCCGCGGCCGTGCTTGGTGAAAAGACGCTCCGCTCGGCAGGACCACGCAAGGCTGTCAGCAGCCGCGCGGAGGAGCCCCACAGGCAGCTCGACTGTCCGGGGGTCAAATGGCAGCGCAGCGGATCCAGACGCATGCTCAGCGAGAGACAAGCCGTCCGTCCAGCGGCCTGGGTCATACGGTCCCAGAGAGGCGCGGACCGTTTCAACGACCGATCGTCTGACGTTGTCCGGGGTGTCATGGGCACGCCGCGGTTGGAAGACGCCCGCCTCGTTGCGGCTCGCAGCGTCCCAGGCGGCAAATCGCTGCTCAGCATGAGGGGCGCGGATGTGGTGCGGGGAGATCCCCATTTTACTGCAAACGCGCCGCGGTTTCTTGGGGACGGCATCCCTCGGCAGCGGAATTCCCGTAGCTGCCTTCCCATGCATCGACGGAGGCGTGGCACTGTCTGCATTTCGGTCTGGTTAAAGAACTTTTGTTTTATTCTCATGGCGATAGTGAGGCGCGCGCGTCTCGGAGCGCAGGACGCGTCGCAGGTGTGCAGCATCGTTTGGAATAACCGATGGGTGTCGGTCCCCGTGAAGGCGTCATCAACGACCCCGGACGACAGAAGGAGCACAGCGAGTTTATTTGTCAGGGCGTTTGGTTTCATTCTCTTGCAGCTTTTTTGGGAGAAGGTGGGAGGTTGAGGGCATTTAGACCGAATACTTTTGAGTGGCTGCGTTCCGTTGAATTGCGGCCAGTCGTGGCACTCTTTTGGGGTTTGGCCGCTCGCGTCTTTTGTTTACTTCCCAGTGCAGCACGTGGATAACACTGATGTGAAGAACATTTGTTTGACCGCGTGTGAGCTGCTGCCGTGCGTGGTGCATGGACTATTTGATTGTGTGGGGAGGTGCATTGGGGTGACGAATACTTCTGTTTGGCGTGTCGCGGTGTGTCGGAATGGTGTTCGGATGACATGTGAGGGGTGTTGTTTGTGATTTGTGTGTCTTCTCTTGTGGAACCGACGTGTGTGCGGGGATTGTGGCATTGTTGGCTGACGGCTCCACGTCACTTTTCAGCATTCCTGGATGTGCTGAGGAATGACGGCTGGCGACCAGCGTGTTGGTGCTGCTGGTGGGAATAAGTGCATCAGGAATAGACCATTTTCTCTTTTCCGTGCTGGAGCCGATGAACTGGCACGAGGGCACCGGCTGCAGGCTGCCTGCCAGCACGTGTGAGCAGCGGATCCATGCACACACCGACGCTCATCGCAAGAGCTTGTGCGATCACGGTGGCTTTTTGGTGTGCTTTTGTGGACGTCAGCCCACCGAAGAATGTGTGAAGCAAACGGCTGACTGCACACGAGGAAAATAAGTGCGTGCACTGTGCCGTGTTTCAGCGTCGATGGCAGAGCGGCAGGAAGCCCGTGTTGGCAACTGAGATCTTTGCGTCGCGAGAGATGTCGGTGTTGATTTTGGATCGTCGAGGGTGAAATGATTTTGCTGCTGCTCGTGTGTGTCGCCACTCCGGCAGAAGGCGAACACAAAAGGGAAGGACGCAGGCACTGCGTGTGTGTGCGCGGGTGCCATGCAACAACGTCACAAGAAACATGCTGCGACTCGGTGACCCTCACATAGCTGTGGTCCCCACGAACAACCCAGGCACGGCCCACATCGATGCACTCAGTGGACGGAGTGAGGCATCTTTTGAGGCGCTGCAGGGAGCAGGATGTGTTGACGCAGCCACGAAGTGTATGGAGTGTCACGATTGCACAGTCAACTGTGGCTGGTGGAATATTTACTTCTCGGAGGAAACAGAGAGAGAGCTGCTCCTGCTGTTGGCGTCGTTGCTGCCTTTTGTGGCCTCCCATGCCGATTATTGTCTGTCCGCTGATCATGGGTGGCATGCCTCCACTAGTGACTTCGTCTGCAGGCATTTCACAGCAGCAGTGAAACACACATCACGTCGCATGCCTTGGCTGTGGATGTGGTGTCGTGAATGCAGCCGGCATTATTTTGCCCGACTCCTTTTCGCTGCTTTGCGACAAATAGATGCGTCGCCGCCCGAGTCATTCACTGCAGCTCCGTGCGTTGTACTGCCAGCACAAGACTCTCTTGTTGTCTGACGCCTGGCTGACAGCCAGATACCACACCGTTGGGGCATGCAGGGATGTGGACTGCCGCTCACGGTGTTGCGCACCGCTGTTTGGATTCGGCGGCCACACGAGCGGATGTATTGTGGCGCAATCAAATGCGTGAAATACGCGGAATCACAGCAGCCGCAATAATATCAGCGGTGTGGCACCACGGAATATGTGAGAGGGTGATGCATGATGAATCACAGTGGGCGGCATGCGGGGGAAGTGCACCGCGACGGAGCGTCATCCCGCCCTCAGCCTGCAGGGGAATGTACGCCCACAAAATATATGGTCGAGACACCACCAAACACACATGCTCTTCCATGCACCAATAAATAGGAGCGAAGGTGCGTTCTGGTGCGTGGGAGTCCACTCACATATTATTTGTTCCCACCACAATAAACGGCGAGGAATCAGGTGCCACAGCAACGAAAGGAAAAACAAACATCTATTGCAGCACTTTACCAGAGAAAGGCAGGAACAACACAAATTGAATTCTTGGATGCACCAACACAAGAAAAAAATGCACAAGAGGAAAAAAAATGTGCACCCTGCAGAAATCCCCAACACACGATCCAGGCATGAAGGTCCATCCTCTGCAAAACAAAAAAAAAGGAACAAAAAGGTATGCGGACATCTTCCAACATTCAAATCGAAACAAAATAAATGGTTGTTTGCTTTATTTATTGCTATTATATCTGCGTGCGGCTGCTGCTGCGGTGGTGGTCGTGCCTGCATGAGGTGTTGTGTGCTGAATATGAACGACGGTCGAAGGCAACTGAATTGCTTTTGTAATGAATGTTGGCTGCACTTCCCGTGGACCAACAATCCACGTGGTGTGCGGGGATCTCTTATTTTTCAACAGTACTTTGCTGTTTTGTTGCTGTGTGCGCTGCACATCTTCTTTTGTGTGTGCGTACCCTCCGTGAGGGGTGCCGACACGACGGACCGCTCTCGCCGTGTGTGCATGCGGTGGAGCCTTGTGTGCCGCTCCTGTTTGCTTCTCCCTCTTCCATCTGTGTGTTGGTGTTGCGGCAGGGCTGTGTGTGTGTCGTGCGTGGTGTGCGGCGTACGGTGCATGCCTGGCTGCTGCCCTCTCCTCATGTGGTGTGCCCTCTGTGTGTATCTGCCGCACCTCTCGTCTTCCCTGTTGCTCTCCATGTCCCTCACTGTGCAGATCAGCTCCACACCACTGAACGACCACACTCGCGATGATGACGTGCCGTCTGCTGTGTGCCCTGTTGGTGTTAGCCCTGTGCTGCTGTCCGTCCGCGTGTGTGACAGTAACTGCTGTCACAAGTGAACCGCTCAAACCACCACAGGGGACAAGTCTAGGGATCAAGTCTCCGGATTTAATTATCCTTGCAGACCAGCAAGATGTTGGTGCCGATGCGTTATCTCCACCAGTTAAGGCCGTTAAGGAAGGAAAACCGCGTGTGTCGTCCAATGCAGAAAATGGAGAAGGCGCGACTGAACAGGCAGGGTCGGAAGATGTGGACACTAAATCGAGAGGTTCAACGGAGAATTCCAGTAAGTCGGTGGTAAAGAGTTCAGAGCAGAATCCGGAAGTGCTAAGACCTAATGAAGAGGCTAACCTCTCG